GCGGTGAGGGGCACCCCCGGAGACACGGAGCTGGCTCTGCCCTGGGCCTCCTGCCACGTTCGCCGGATCTCCAGAGGCCAGAACGACCCGAGCACTCCGCTGATGGAGAGCCTGGCAACACAGTGCAGGGTGAGGTCAGACCCAGGAGACCTCTCCGGCAGCCCCAGCTCCAGGACCTCCTCGGGGAAGGGCTGGGCAGGAGCAAGCGATGCCAAACCCAGGAGTCCTGCAGCAACGCTGGAGCCTCCAGCGAGGACGCCAGCCCCGCTCCCGTGCCGGCAGCACGGACCCAACCCTGGGGCATGGCAAATCCAGGGAGAAGAGAAACAGCTCGGCCGTTCAGGAGCGATGCTGCTGGCAAATAACCGGGGCCAGGCACCCCTTACCGACAGGCGCTCACCCGCAGAGCTTGTTTGCACAGCCTGAACCCGTCCAAGAGCAAACTCCATCAGCGGAGAGCACTGGGGAAGCCGAGCGAAGCTGCGCTGGGCTCTGGTTAACAGCCCTCTCCCAGGAACATTACAGTGCCAAATTAATCAGCGACCAAGCAGATGAAGGATGTTACCTAAGCGCACAGCATTGATTGTTTTAATTGTTATCATCGCTGCTAGGCTTCAGTTCCACACTAAGGGACGAGCGAGGATGACTCGTGCTGGGAGAAGCCGCGCATCGGCCAACTGTCGTACCCTGCATCGGACCCGGCACGGCTAAAACGCCCCGCTCCAAGGATGAGGGCAGCATTTCTGCAGCAACGGAGGATGCTCCTCCGCCGCAGCAACCCATACTTCCCTGTCCCAATCCGGTCCCCTCGTCCCCGCAAGCGGCTCCCAGCATCTCCCTTCCCCAGCCACCACCACCGCCCCTTTCGCCTCCCTGTTGGCGCGATGGCCGCAGGAGATATTCCCATCACGCCCCGGGCCGAGAGCCACGGGAAACACCCCAGCAGCTCACCACCCCATTTCTGGGGACAAGGCACGTCCCTGAGCGGACTCACCGTCCTCGTCCGTCTGGAACACCACCTCCTTGCCCTCCTTGCGACCCTCGGGGTTGGAGAGGATGAGCTTGACGTGGATGTTCTTGTAGGGCAGCAGGTTTTTGATGGTGTAGCGGTTGGCGTTGCGCTCCATCTTCACGCATTCCCGGAAGGTCTGGTTGTGGCCGGTGCCCACGGAATAGCGGTAGCAGAGCGAGACGGTGTAGGTGTGGCAGCGGGTCAGGTTGTAGCCCAGCGGCTCCCACTGCAACGTCAGCTGCCTGGACTGGATTTCGGAGAAAGCCAGGCCTTTGGGGGCCCGCATGGGCTCTGTGGGGGGAACAGAGAGAGGGAGAGATGAGCGATGAAGCAAAACATCTCATGGGTTTATGTGTGCTACCAGGGAAAGCCCTTTTACAGCGTAGGAACAAGACTGGCTGGCGCAGAGAGCAACCCTGACCCCAATCCTGGGATCAGCCCCAGCACAGGAGGCTGCTGCCCTGCAGACAGGGCTGGGGACATCGCCGGGTCTCTCAGCCACCAACATGGCAGGGACAGCAGTCCCTGCTATGGAGGTGACTGGGGCACCAGCCCCCGGCCGGCACCAGGAGCATCCACACCATCAGCAGCCCCAAATAACCGGGATAAACGCGCCTCCACGATGGCAGCCCTCGTGTTTTCATCAAGCCCAGCTCTGAAAGGACAGAGACCAAGTGCCATCGCCAGGAAGGAGTTTAATTAGCCCTAATTAGCATAAACAGAAGTCAGATTTAACAAGGAGCCGAGTTCCTTTGCCAACAGCACACGCACCCAGGCCGTTCGGTTTAGTGGCAGTAACCTCCTCTCCACACCCAAGGGCGGTGGGAAGGACCCTGAGAGGGAAGGAGGGTCTCTGCCCACCCCATCCCAGAGCTGAGCCCCCAGACAATTCCCCTGGGATCTGCACTGCGGAGGGATTTGGGCGGCTCAGGGCTGCAAGAGGCTTCTGCAACCTCAGCAGATGTTCCTGCAGGTCTCGATGCCCTCACAGGACTGTGCAAAACCCCAGTTGGTTTCGGGGGGCCTGAACGTGGTAACCATAGGATATTAAACACGGGGTGTCGAGAGCGTCAAACAGCGCCCGTCATCGGCTTCAAGGTAATAAGGAAACCTGGGCTTTCTCGCAGCACCTCTGAAAATGAACCTGGGATAAAAAGCTGCCAGCAGCCCCTCGCCACG